ACTTTATTTGAAGCATTACACAATTGCAATGCAAGTGTCAGAAATGTCAAGAGGCATGTCGCATAATTACCATTTATACGACAGGAAAATAAGGGCTCCCTACAGGTCAACTGTATAATTGTAGTAAACCTAGGAAATCCTTGCCTGCTTCTCTGTTGTATCTATTGATAGTCCTCCTTTCCATTGCATAAGCTGAAATCTTAGGGTGCTAAATTGGGGGTTCTTCCCTGACGCCTAGAGAAGATCCATTGTTGAAATAAGCATTGCACACTTGGCATCTCTTTTTTTCAACGTGTATACTCACACCGCATATGAGTCTCAAAGTCTGTCTTGTAAATCTACGGCCTTTGATGGAAAGAGGTCTATAATTTCACTTCAGGCTCTCTCCTGACTTCTGGGAGAGCTGTTAAGACTGTAAATTGGGAGGGTAGAGGAGTCCGTAATATCCTGTCTGTAAGCTTTATGGTTACGAGAGGAAAAATATAAACGTTAGAAATTCATGGCTGACCACAGATTGACATAACAAGGTAATTTTTAATAAAATTGCAAAATGTTTTGTCTGAAATATTTATATATTTGTCAATTTTATGTATTTTTAGTCCATATAGATTTTCCATTTAAACTGTCTCAGCCTGTTCCTTACATGCTTGCAAGTGAACACCAGTCTGTCGGCTATGAGAACAGAATTCTGTCAGGATTGACGTACAAGTGATGATGGTGATATAAATAGAGCAGTGACTAAAAGCTCCACTCGGGTATCAACAAATATTGTCCCGATTTTATAAGAGGCAAATGTATTCTTAAATGTATCTTGTTTATTTCCTCCAGATCTGTGTAGTAATCCAGTGTGAAAGTTTGACTGTGTGCAGGAGCTTCCTGTAATAAAGACCAGTCAGTGCTGCTCTGTTTTGTGTAGGGTGACTGGTCTTGTATCCGCCCCCTCCTATAGTTTTTCTTCAGGCAGCTTGTAGTGGGTGGGCCTTCTGGGCTCCTCCTGCCACTCTGTGATCTGCACAGGCTATGAACTGCACACTGATGTCAATGCTGCTTTTTGATAACTGTTTACAAACGCATTTGGTTCAAAGTGGATTTGTATGCTTTGTGGCTATTGAGTAAAATATTTAAATGAAAGTTTGTGCCTGGAGTGCAGCTATAATACACTACCTTGCTATATACTTGCAGGAACAAGACAGTTTGGTCTTTTGAGATGTATGCCTTAGATAGGTGTAGGCACTCGCAGGAAGTGACCGGATGCATCATGATCAAGTCATGTGAGTGCCTCAGTACTATCCGACTTTGAATTGAGGACACTCGGGGCGTACATGGAGCTTCCACATTTTTTCTTTTTCCTCCCCCTCCTCTTCTGTTTTTCTTCATTTTTTTTCTTTCCATCTCTGCTTTAAATTCACAAACCTCATTTAGTCACCATAAACAATGAGGCACTGCTATGATAGCACAAGAAAGTGCACATATAAATAAGCCAGCCATATGGCAGGGGCTGAATGCCTAATGTATGAGTGTGCACAACAACATTCAATCTCCTCATGCCTAGTAACGGCAATGATGCTCTTTTTGTTAAGAATCCACTGTGCTCAGGAGGGTGACTGTGCTTTAGCCATGACTGGTATCCTTGGGAATGGATGAAATCTGAAGTGGTTGCCTAGGAGTCTAAGAAGCTTGTTGGAGCCTACATGTGTGGAATGTGGCCTCCAGTCAGGCTTAGTGAAGTGTATTGGCACTAGGCAACCAAGGACACTGATCCAGGTTCAGATTTTCATGGGAAGCCGTGCAGATAAACAGATCACAGCAAAGTGGATTTGGCAGGGTAGAGACCAGCCTTGCACTGGTGAACCATTGGATGAGGTATATTGGGGCAATTAAAGCGACCTCGTGAGTCTTGTCAAAAATTCTAAATGGCCACGTCCTGCAATAGAAGAGCCAGTTCTAGGGCTGCAGATTCTTCAGGACACGATGGTTTGTCCCTCTGACTCCTGTGTCACTACAGGGAGAAGCAGTTATGAAGGGCAAAGGAGGGAAATTGGGAAAGCACGTTTTTTATTTTTTGCCATCTGTGAACCATTGGGGGAAATTTTCCTTCCCGTCCCATCGACACAACAGCAAGTGAGGGGAATGCTGTGTAAAGGTGGCCATACACTTTACAACCCTTGCAAGACTTCTGTTGTAAAGTACTTAAAAAAACGTACGATCTACCCATCTTGGACAGGCAGATTGTACTTGCTATCGTAGCAATCGCGTGCGCACACCGGCCCGTTCGGCAGTTGTTGAACAAGCAGGCCACTAACTCGCCGTGAATCGTACGATTCCCGGCAGGTTTTCCAGCCTGCTTGTTCGACGGAAGACGTGTGACCGTACAGTAGAAACGGTCGCATGCCGTCCATACACTGTGCGATTATCGTACAATCGTGGGATTTCCCGCAATTCTCGTACGATAATCGTGCAATGTATGGGCACCATTAGATAGAGCTGCCACCAAATTCTGTTGTAAAATGTTTCCTCCTTCTCTTTTCCTCTTTTCAGTAACAACTCAAAATTTTGGATTTTTCCTCACTTTTGCTAAGCTTTAAAGTTGTTGTAGTTGGTGGTGTTTTTATGTTTTTTTCTTTCCGTATTTCTCTCACTTTTTCTGTATTCATTATACCCTCCAAGTCTCCCAGGGCCTACTACAGAGAAGCATCTCCATAGCATGATGCCACCGCCATCATGTTTGTAATGGTGTTTTGATGATGTGTACTAATTGACTTGGCAAAATTCAGAAGTGTAGTCTGGTGGCCAAAAAGTTGAATTTTGGACTTCTAACAAAATTCCCAACCTTTTCTCATCCCTACTGGTCGATAAAAGCCACCAGCTGCCTGTTTTTTGTTCCTTCCCTCTCTGTAGACATTGTGAGGGGAATTTATCAAAACCTGGAGTAGTTGCCCATGGCAACCAATCAGCTTTTCATTTTCAAATCTTAAGAGACTGAAGAGAGAAGCTGATTTGTTGCCATTGGCAACTGCTCCCAGATTTTGTCTGCTCCAGTTTTGATAGATTCCCCCCTAATGTGTACACTTTACAAGGCCTTGTACAAGGCCTGAGTGTCTTGTAGCGTTTTTTTCTGTCCTAAAAAAAAACGCTAAAAAAAAATCCCATTAATTTCGATTGGCCCTGTCGCAATAAGCAAAACGCCTGTCGCTGGAAAAAGAACATAATATATTCAGCTCGTTTTGGCCCCATAGACTCAATAGGAAACGCCTGAAAACGCACGTTTGCTGTGTGTTTGCACGTTTGCTTATTAACATCAATGAGCTACAATCTGCTCACAAAAAGGTGGAATTTGATTTATGTGTATAAAACACACAAACGCTGTTGTCTAGGTGTGAACCCAGCCTAATAAACATCCTTCGCCCTATGTCTATAAGCACTTAACCCTTGCAGTGTGGAGGCAGCCCCACTGCAAGGGTTTTTTAAACTAGAGTTCTGCTTTAATTTAATGTTAGTTTTTTTTTCTTTTTTATATGGGGGTTTTTTTTGGGGGGGGGGGTTTACCAGCGTCGGTTATGCTAAGTGAGCTCTTGAGGAATAAAATAAGGAAGTTGTTTGTGCGGTTTTGTGTAAGACTTCCCAGATGGTACACACGGTTTTCTCTCAGCTGAGCGCCTCTCCTGCATAGTAACAAATCCCACAGGGTGTGTGAGGAAATCATGTCGCTGTAATGATGATACTTTGGTTTGCCTCATAGTCTATCGGGTTCATGGTCAGTCTTGTGACTGTTTCGTTCAAGTCATTATGGAGCTTAAGGATTTGGAATAAAATATTAGTAAGGATGAACTCCAGGCTGACAGTTGAATTCAGAGGTGAAATACAAATCCAGAGACTATTTTGTCTACCAAAGGATTTGCATTTCTGTACATTCGTTCAGATTTGTACAACCAGGTGGATGATGCCACTTTCTCTGTTACAGTTAAAGTGCACCTGTGCCCACACTATATGGACATTAAACTACTTACATATTGCTAATAAGCAGTAAAAAGAGCCATTCATCACCCCTCTAGGTCAAAAGTAGGCACCTCTAGCTGTTGTGGACCTCAAGTCCCATGAGGCATTGCACGATGCAGACAGCCACAGGCATGACTCTCAGAGGCAGAGGTATGATAGGATTCATAGTTAAATTACAACTGGAGGGCTGGAGTTGCCCACCCCTGCTCTAGGTGATTTCAAGATGAAGAATCGCATTGTTTTCAGTGTTGCTTGAAAAAGTAAATTTTTTAGCGCCAAACCCCTCGCCACTGTGAATCCCACAAAAAAGCTTAAAAATCTCCTTAAGACTCCTAAGTCGGGAAAAGAGCGGGAATTTTGGGCATGAAGAATCGCCTCGAGGAATACCAATAAAGGTTACCTCAGAGGATAACGCACCAGTTCGGAACACAGGTCAGCAAACACCCTCCCTAGTTGTGGCTTTTTTATGTGGCTTGTCACCTCAAAAAATGTATTGAGGGGGACTAAGTTACAGCTAAGCGAAGTGGATTTGCCCGAGTTGTAATGACTGGGAAAAGAGTGGGTTTGAAGTATTACTCGTTGGTTAATAAAGTTAAAATAAATAATTTTATATATATTTGGAATACCAATAAAATTTGCCGCGGCCATTTTTTGCCAATATCTGGTTGTCTTGTTTTATTTTATTATTTATAGCATATTTTAACTTAATGTTGTCTGCATGATTCACCCTGGCTCCCTGGTCAGCAGCGCTAATAGATGGATGTGTTTGCTTTAACATCGTGAAAGCTACATATTGTGAGTACTTGTACACATAGAAACCTGAAAATACAACAATCTCCTCCTTTTCTTTTTTCACCTTTTATGGAAACCTCCCGAAATTTGCCTTGACTTGTTAGTGCCAAACACATTCAACAAAAGAGGAACTTGTAATTTTACTTCTCTTTAATGAGCAGACATAGTACAAAGGTACATAGCAACATGCTTATCTCTTTATTTTCTTTCAGGAGGCCAACTGTAAACTGCTAGATGTGGGAAGATGTTGTCCACAGAGAGAGGAGTTGTTGAGGAATGGTTATCGGAGTTTAAGGTAATTATTAACTCGTTTCTCTGCTTATTGAAAACCTTTTCAAATCTGTTTATCCCGTCACTTAGATAATCCTTTTGTATTTGCCCGTCTGAGGATTCTTCTTGTTCTTTGAAGACTTGAAAATTGATTTTGTTTGACCATCGAGTTGATTAGGTCACAAGTGTGATTAAAGTCAGATTTAGGCCCTATTTACATGGTGCTTAAGGCTGCCGCTGGGGATTTCTGTGGCAAGAACCTACTGATGATTGCGGCAGGAATCTCAGGTGTGTCCGCACAGATGCCAATATTAATGCAAGTTAATGACAGGCTGACAGCGACCGCATCTGTCAGCAGCTGTTCACATGTTATCATACATTGAATGATTTCCCCATGGTGGTTAAGGATGGACATGATTGTGTCCAGGGACAATCATCTATCCCAATCTGCAGGCAATCGTTCCATGTTGGTTTACATGTGGACAGCCACTGACACAGATGCGGCTGCTGTCGGCCTGTCATTAACTTGCATTAATATTGACATCTGTGCGGACACACCTGAGATTCCTGCCACATATATGCCCGGCAGCAGCGTTTGAATGTAGCCTGTATATTGCATGGCTCCATATGCCTGGCTAATAATTCTTAGCAGCTCGTGGTGCTAAAATGATCATTTCTTAAACCCACTGTATAGCACTCTGGCCAGCTCCCTGCGTTCAGGGGCGGTGCATTGAAGTCAATGCAGCCACGCCCCCCGCCTGCAGTGTGATCGCCCACATCCGAATGCGTGGCATTATAGTGCCTGCGTTCCGGTCCAGTGCCATCTACAGCATTTTTGCAGATTGCACTGGACCGGAATGCAGGCACTAATATGCAATACAGTGAGTTCCAGAGCCTGACTGCTCTGGAACGCACTGTTTGTGGAGTGAACCGGCCCTCGAAGAACTCACAATCTATGGTCCCTATCTTACAGGCATACAATAAAGGGCCATTTTAGAGAAGGGCCAATTAACCTGTCTTTGGATTGTGAGAGGAAATTGGAGTACTTGGAGGAAACTCATGTTGTTGGTGTATATTTTTACCAATAAATGTTTAAAAGTAAACAAGTGATTTTATGATGCAGTATTGATCTGACGTAGCAGTACAAGTATTCATAAAATGAAGCTGACGCTGCTGCCGTCTCCCCTGCCGGTTATTTCAGATCACATGGCATGGTAATTTACTTTAGCTTTTTATGGACATTGATGATGTAACTGTTACGTATACAAGCAAGAGTTTCATTATCCCCGGCACCCAACTCTTTTCTCTCCATTTTCGAAGAAAATTTATGGGACAATTTGGACTTTTTTTTGTTTTTGTTTTAGAGACCATTGACTTTGCACGTCCTTTTTGCCAAAAAGGAGTTGCTTGTAGCAGTTTCAGTAGTTCCACTTCAGGGTAATAATCGATTATAATCGATTATGTTGATTAGTTGTTGCAGCCCTAATGTAAACCCGATCTCTAAGATCTCATGTAATCTGTTTTACCTTTTTGCGTCATCCATGTTTAATATTATCGTTATGCCATCTTGAAGTGCCTATTCCTCAGCATCAAGGTGATGGAAGTGTAGGTATGACTCAGTAAGAAAAACAATGACATCACCTAAAAGGTAGCCTTCTTTATTGTATCAGCTGCTGCTTTCCATTCAGGTACGTAGAGTTTTCATGCAGCTATTAATCATCTGTTGAATCCAAAGGTACAGATTCAAACTATGTAGCTAGAATTGTGCTGACATTGGAAGACTGAAAGCTTTTTCCATACAGTATTCAACATCCAGCTGGAGGGAAACAAGGGCCTCTGATTAACGTTTTTAAAGAAGATGTTTTGTTTTTAGAGTCTACCCGAAGCGTCCATTACAAGTTATGCTGTCAGTTTGAAAGAGAAGACGTCTTTGGTAGCTGCGTTGTATGAAGTGATTCAGGAGCCTCAGAGCGAGGTAAGCAACATGTCAATTCCAAATGTATGTTGCACAGCTGCCAGTAAGAAATTAGGGCAATATTGGTCATCGATTGGGGACAGTTTTTTTAATTTTCTTTTTTTAGTTAACCCTTTGACAATATTTTAAAGTCCTTTCTCCATCCTGCACTCACAGGAGAATGTAACAACATGACTTGCTCTCTGTAGAATCAGAAATGCAGCCAGTCTGAAACCCAGAGTTTGGCTTTAAAGAGCACTAGTCACAAATTTGCTTTTGCAGCCATCCACTCTAGAATTCCAAAAATAGTGCAGCCTTGCTTCTCAGGGATAGCTGTTTTTGTCCTGACCATTTTAATGTCTCCTTAAAAAGAATGAATAACTGAGTCTTTCTGTAAAGCTAGCCATATTCATCCCGGCAAAAGTCAATTTAAAAGTCGACAGAACTGGGTGGAAAATTCTTGCCCTAACAGTGACTGCATTCTATAATACAAACACAGTATAAGGAAGAGTGCAACAACCTGAGTAGATACTTATTGGGTATAGCATAACAGTTGATCAATGGATATATGCTGCCCAGTCTGCTGTGACTGGCTGGGTCATGAGGGTTAAAAAGTATATGTATAACTTACGGTTATGCTGTCACAGGGGAGCGAACAGTATCTCTGCATGCATAAGACAAAGGTGGATGTACTGCCAATTCGGAAGTCCAGGGTATTCCCAGGGTATCTCCAGCCCGCGAACGCGGCACTTGGAGGAAGGAGGGGGAAGGAAGATCTTGCCCGGCAATAAAAAAACCGCACTTTGCTGTGTATCTGTGCGGCGTGTGTCGCAAGCGTGGAACGGTCAGACCCAGTGGGTGGAACGGTACTCGTGGGTTTGAACGAGTATGGAGTTAGTAAATAGGCAGTGCTAACGGCTACGCGTTTCGAGGTAGTCCTCTTTTTCAAGCCTAAGAGCGGTGTTAGCCGCGGGAAATGGAACATCTTTTAAATCTTTTAGAACTGACAGGGGGGAGGAGTCAAGTCAGTGAGAGAGCCTTGATTGGTCCGACCGCCAGAAGGCAGACCGGCTGGCTTGAGGGCACTAGAAAACTGCTCCAAGAATTAGCATACCCCGATCTAGTAATCATTAGGGGGCTCGAATGTGTTAGTTCTCCAGGACCACACTAATTATACATAGTGGATGTTGGTATGTAGGCAAGCCAGATAATCAAATCCTACTTTATGGAATGTATACACATATGTGTATGGGGATGGGTGTATGCATGTACACACATGTTTCTGTCCATTTTTGATAAAAGTAACTTTTTTAAAAAAAGATAACGTTTTTAAAAAAACCTTTTAAAAAAACCTTTTTACGTGAGAGTGGATATTCCTTCTCCATGTAAACACGTAATCAAAAAGCATGCAGAGATACTGTTCGCTCCCCTGTGACAGCATAACCGTAAGTTATACATATACTTTTTAACCCTCATGACCCAGCAAGTCACACCAGACTGGGCAGCATATATCCATTGATCAACTGTTATGCTATACCCAATAAGTATCTACTCAGGTTGTTGCACTCTTCCTTATACTGTGTTTGTGAATGTGATTTACCGGGTCCCTCTCCCGGTTTGTTGAGGAGTTTATGCACACCATCCCCCAATATACCAACGACCAAGATAGTTGACCATACTACAGTGGAGCGCTTTCCATGCTTTTTTTTGTTTTGCATTCTATAATATGCAGTCACTGTCAAGCGGCTATGGCTGCCACAACTGCTTGAATAGAATAGTTGACAGGAAAGATTCCTCCATTCATGTTGTTGAATGTGGATGGGAGGAATCAGGTGATTTTCTTTGAAGATCTAGACAGAGGGCTTCACAAGGGCTGCCGTATTGCCTGCCTCAAGGCATTGTTGGTAACACACTCCTATTAAAAAGTTGTAGTTTTTCAGGATTACACTAATTAAAACTTAAAAGTCTAATTATAGTAATTTCTTTCGGTATCGGCTAGATGCAAATTGCCTTCAGCATTAGGATTGCAAAAAAGGAGTTCTCACCTGCTCCTATGGCATCACTCCCTTATTGGCCGAACAAGCGAGATGTTGCTCCTTCACAGGGCAGCAATATTTTGCCTCGGCAATGAGGAAGCAGTGCTGTTGGAACAGGTGAGAACCATTTTTAGGGATCCTGTTGCTGTCCAGTTGCCAACAGGCTCGCTAATGTGACATGCCCTTCAGTGTTTTTTCCTGCAAAATGAACACTGCAGCAGATTACACATGTGGGTCACCCAAGTGGTAGATGTCTTGTGTCGGCATATTCAGGAAAGATGTAATATCACCTGCACGCCATACAGCGATGCGGCTATGGGGGACTATGGTGTTGCTTTAAGGGACAACCACGGTGGCTCAGTGTAGATCCACAGAACAAAGGACAAGTCATCCAGCATTCAGTGCACAGGTACTCATTTATTCATAATGTGTCGCATCAGTCAAATAAGCCTACATGTTGATGCCTCACGGGGTCCCTTCCTCAAGGCGACTTGGTGACCCAAGTACTTTTTTGGGGGGGGGGGTCTAACTTTTTTTAAAGTTTATTCTTGAATGTATTAACATATGCCATGTTGTACATATGTTAAGTTGAAATCTTTTTAAAGAGAGAATAATTGGCACAGTAATCATTTTATTAAGCTGCATTAAACTCTTGCCTCAATAGCCCCAATGTATGAGCCTGGAGCTGAACATGAACGTTCTTTGCACTGAACTGATCACATAACAAGCTTGATATCTCAAAGTGCAGTTTTAAGTAAAACTGCAAAGTTTAATGCATCAATTAGATGAAGGAAATGGACGCAAACTGTGGTGATTCATTAAATGTTTGTTGTCTTGTCAGTAGTGTACGTGGAAGTAGTACTTTAAATTGCTGCTGCAGCTTAGCAATCCACCCAGCCAGCTTTTATTAAGAATTGCATGCATCAGAAGCAAACGGTTTATGTGAAAGAACCTGCCTTGAAAATGCGAGATAATTGAGTCTGTAGCGCTTTTCATGGCAGAATGGCAACTCTTCTTGCCTGAATGATGTGTATGCTGGCCTATTGAAAATGTTAATCTTCGTAGCCATGGCTCATTGCCCTGTACAGTGATGTCTAGGGCAACCTTGAAATTTCTGTTGTGTGTTCCTATGTCATAAAGGAGTAAAGTAAAACCATGAACGGATTGTTAATACTCACATTTGAGAATCTAACTCCAATAACTACATTTTGTATCTTAAATGGTCGGTTTAAAAAAAAAAAAATCCTTTATATGGAGAAGAGAACTTTGCTATTTTTTTTTTTTTTTTTTAACCCCCATTTCTCACTAGGACCGTGCCAGAGAAATCTAGGTTTTAGCTGCTTCTTTAAACTAAGGCTTTAGCTCCGTGGTAGGCTTTTCGGCTGTGCCGAAACTACAATTCCCATAATACCTTTAGCTTAGCTGAACATGTGTTACAGGGGAATTTTTGTTTTGTTTTTTTTACTAGTTCTGGTCTGTTGTAGTCAGCAGTAATGAGACCTGCAATCCTGTACTTAGCCTTCTTTATTGTGAAAAGAAGGTAGTAATGCACAGCCATAGATGTGAATGGACTACACGGGGAGATTTTATTTTACATTGACTTTCATATTTACGAGTCTGATAGGTATTCAAATGCTAATGCTAAATGTAGAATTTACATTTTGCTTCTGATAACAGTTTTTGGAGCCAGTCTGCCACCAGCTCTTTGAGTTCTACAGAAGCAGAGAAAAGCGCCTGAGAACATTCACACTTCAGTTCCTGCCAGAGCTCATATGGTGCTACCTATCTGTGTCCACCAGCAGAGACCTGCAGAGCAGTGGATGTATCGAAGCTCTGCTTCTCAGCATCTACAGGATTTATATAGCGCCAACAGTTTGCGCAGCGTTTTACAATAGAGGGAAGACATTACAATCACAATACAAATCAAGACAAGATGGTAAGGAGGGCCTTGCCCATGAAGGCTTATATTTGTATTTAAGCTTTAGCTGTAGCATGATAAAGGTTGATGTAATTTCACCTGTGAAAGGTATGACATGGGCTCAATTCACAAAGCTAACATGTCGGGATACAGATCCTTATTTAAAA